ATATGCCAGATGTCAGAAGTTGCCCATAGAGGAGAGGAAACAAAATCAACGATCTTCTAATTAGTGTGTTATTTACAAATAAGGATACCACCATATGTGATTCCAATTAATAATCTTCTCAAATCACATACATCCTTATTCTGAGCAAACTGGTTTAAATACCTCTTGCTATAGCTGGGTCTTGCATTGTCACAGTGGAAGAACCAGTCGCCTGTTTACCACAATGTGGGACATTCTCCTACTAGAACATTTAAATATTTGTAGTTGTTTCTTAAGGCTGGTATAACCAATCACCTCACACCGGGGCTTAAATCAATAGAAATTTATTTGCGTCTGGTTCTGGGAACCAAGAGGCTGAGGTCAAGGAGTCTCAGGGCCAAAATCCCTCCAGAGGCTCCAGGGAGAGGATCCTTCCCGCCTCTTCCAGCTCCTTTGGGCTCCTGGCATCCCGGGGCTTTTGGCCGCGTCACTCCAGGCTCTGCCTCCATCTGCACCTGGCCTCTTCCTCTGTGTCTGTGTCTCCTCTTCTGTCTCTTATAAGGACACTGATCATGGGATTTAGGGCCACCTAATCCAGAATGGTCTTATCTTGAAATCCTTCACTAATCTCATCTATAATGACCTTATTTCCAAAGGTCCCAACCACAGGTTCTGAGGGTCAGAACATGGACATATCTTTTGGGGCCACCACTCAGCCCATGGCAGTTGTGTTCAGTTCCCTCTGGAAGCTCTGAGGGAGAATTCTTCCTGCCTCTTCCAGCTCCTGGGAGTTCCAGACATCCCTAGGCTTGTGGCCACATCACTCCAGGCTCTGCCTGTGTTTCCATGTGGCCTTCTCCTCTGTATCTGTGTCTCCTCTTCTGTCTCTTATGGGGACACTGGTCATTGGATTTAGGGCCACCTTAAACCTGAGGTGATCTTGTCTTGAGACCCTTCCCTTAATTATATCTTCAATGGACTTTTTTCCAAAGAAGATCCCACTCTGAGGTCCTAGGTAAAGATGACTTTTTGCATGACATTATTCCATCAATTATAATATCGTACCACATTCAATCAAAAATGAAACACAATAGGCCACCCCACAGAGGGTTAAATCATATAAATACATGGTGGGTCTCAGAATAGGTATGCCAAATATGTCTATTACCTTTTATCTGCTGGTAAATTCCAGGTCTCCTTGCTGTAGTGTTCTTCATAACGTTTGTGCTACCAGGAGATTATGTCTTCCCTCCCATTCATCTGATTCTACCTGGCCATTCTAGTATTTAAAAATTTTATTTTTTAGTATATAGAGAGATGAGGTCTCCCTATATTGCTAAGGCTGGTCTCCAACTCCTGGGCTCAAACATTCCCCCTGTTTCGGCCTCCCATAGTGCTGGGATTACAGGTGTGAATCATTGTACCTGGCCCCATTCTATTTTTGACTCAGCCAAAATGCTATGTCTGTCATAAAAATGTGTCTTAACCTACCATCCGACTTGGTCTTTGAGTCCCCCAGGACCCAAATGATCTCTGTACAATCTTTAATGCTCCCAAGAGCCTCATTAGTCCATCATCTCACGTGAACACAAGGATATGGGTCTATAGAGTGCTTCGACCATTTCTTTTCCAAGTAAGGTTGCATCAAGATGTGTCTGCCAGAGGAATCCTCTATATCTGGTTGGCTTTACCTTTCTGGGTATCAGTTTCTTCATTGATTCACTGAGCCAGGCAGTGCAAGTGAACATGTTTCTAAAATTCCAGCAAAGTATTTCTAACCAGGTATGACACAGTTCCACAGGGAACATGTATCCATGTCGGGAGACATTTCTGGTTGTCACAAAGAGGTGGGTGCTCCTGGCATCTGGTGGGTAGGGTCCAGGAACACTGCTCAACATCCTACAGTGCACAGGACGCCCATCCCAGAATTATCTAGCACCCAATATCTACGGTGCTGGGGCTGAGAAATTCATTTTAGCATGAGAGACTCTGCCAATCTTTGTATCTATCTGTCTGTCTATCTGTCTATCTATCTATCTATCTATCTATCTATCTATCTATCTATCTATCTATCTACCTATCTATCATCTGTCTATTCATCCTATCTATTTGTCTTTGTCTATCTATGTCTATCTATCTATCCATTCAACATCCATCAGCCATCCAACTATCCATCTATCAGTCTATCTCTACCATCTATCCCTTTCTATCTATCTGTCAATCTATTGATGAATCTATCTACAGCTATCAATAATTTATATATCTATATCTATCAATAATTTATCTATCTCCTATCTATATCTATTATTTGCCTATCATGTATCTTTCTATCTACATCAATCACCTATTCATCATCTATATATTATCTATCACCTATCACTTATGTATCTATCTGTCTATCATTTATCTATCATGCATTCAACATCCATCTATCATCCATCTAGCTATTATCCATCCAACATCTATCAGTCTATCTCCTGACTATCTCTATTTATCTATCTCAATCAACAATCTATTTATATATTTATCAATCGCTTATCAATATCTATTATTTACTTATCTTCTTTCTATCTATATCAATCACTTGTCTATTCATCCTCTGTATATTATCCATCTATCTATTGCCAATCACTTATCTATCTATTTATCTATCTATCCATCTATTGACCTATCATTTCTGTATCTCCCTAATGAATTGTCTATGTCAATGGCTCTCAGCTAGGAGCAATTTTGCACCATACAGGGATGGTGGGAATTTAGCAAAGTGTAGAGACATTTTTTGTTGTTACAACCTGGAGGGAAGGGGACAGTACTGGTCTCTGATGGATGGAGCCCAGAGACACTGCTCAACACCCTACAGTGCACAGGACACCCTTCCTCAGAAAGCTATCAGCCCCAAATGTAGCTCACACCAAGACTGAGAGACCCTGCACCCGCTGAAGGGCCCATAATATGGGTGCAACCACTTCATGCACGACCTGTTTCCCAGCATCCTCAGGTCCTCTCCCAGTGCCCGGCCCACAGCAAGGACCGTGCAGCTCTATTTAAGCAGATAAGTGGGTTCATAAGTGAGATACTCCATGCTTCCCACGGAGTCACAGAAAAACCCAGTGTTCCTCAGTTTCCAAGACTGACTTCTCTAGCCACTGGTGAAATTGCGTTTCTTGAAACACCGAGAGACCTATTTCTTGCCAAATATTTATCTTAAGCTTGCTTTTTTTCTTTCTTCTCAGGGGATGCAAAAGAATGACAGCTTTGCAAATTTGAGGTATGCCAACACGTGTACCCCCAGATGTCTCTTCAAAATAAATAAATAAATAAATAAAATTGAATTAAAAAAATAAATCCTACAGCACTGTTTCCCAATCCACAAATTTTCTTGCTGTATATTAGAGTTGCCATAACATGGAACAAAGCAGCAGACCCTGCCCTCCTGTCTGACAAAGAGGTCATTGAAATCACTGTCTTTGACTCAGTTTCCTTGCCTGTCAAAAGCTTGTAGGGAATAGAATAATTAAAATAAGGTGAATACAATTATTTTTTCCGTTTTCTTCCTTACATCCTTTCCTTTATTTTCTTTCTTTTTCTTTTTCTTTTTTAGAATCAGTGTCTCACTCTGTCACCCAGGTTGGAGTGCAGTGGCACGATCATGGCTCACCACAGACTTAACCTCCTTGGCTCAGGAGATCCTCCCACCTCAGCCTCCCAAGTAGCTGGGATACAGGCACCATTACCCTGGCTAATTTTTTGGTTTTTGTAGAGATGGGACCTTGCTTTGTTGCCCAATCTCAATCTCCTGTGCTCAAGCGATCCTTCTGCCTCAGCCTCCCAAAGTGTTAGGATGACAGACATAAGCCACTGTGCCTGACTTAAATTCATTCAGTGCTCTTTGCCCTTGAAAACATTACTGTCGCCAGTGCCTGGTTACTTGGAAAATATTATTTTATTATCAAATGTACAGTATATTGACCTTGAAAATACAGTAAAGCGATCATGGAAACAACAGCTTTCCTACTGTCCACAGGTGCAGACCGACTCGTGGTTGGAGACGGAGAAGCTGGCTGAATCTGATTGACATCTCAGACCCTGCAGAGAAGTGTCTGAGCTTTTCTGGAAGACTCTGGATCAATTCTGCGGGGTCATGGCTGAGTTTTCTCCTCCTCCCCCATCTCCCCCTACTGCAGCCTTTAAGATAAACTTTGCACACAAGGAAATCCAATATTCCAGACTTTCCCAGTGTTGGACTTTCCGGTGATCACAGAATTTGAAGGAGGTTAGGGAAAAAAAAGTTTTTTTAATTGCATGTCCATGTCTGCTGTAATGTATCCAAGTCTTGTAAAGACCAATAATTTATTATTTTTAATGAGATAGAAAGCATTTATCTTTCTAGTCTCATCGTCTGATTAGAAAGAAATATATATATATATATATTATAAAACACTATATTAAAAATGAGTTCCAGGGAGAAAGAGTTGAGTTTGTTTGCTTTCTTTTTCCTATAAAATGATAGCTGTAATGTATGAAATTGGGGATTAAGAAAAAAATCACTCTGGTTCTAAACACAGAGGAAGAAGAATGGAGTTTAGAAGTGACAGATAAAAATAAGTGGCAAGTGAGTTCAGCAAACCCTATCATTTAAAAATGGCACCTGGTTAACCAGGGGAAACATCTTCCATGGGGCAGGAGACATCGTCCATCTCTGTGATTTATTTTTTAAGTGAATGCTTCTTGAGCATCCCACAAACATTCCTGAAGACAGCTAAGTGGCATTTGCCAAACAGAAATTGCAGCTGGAGCCCAGATGCCCTGAAGCCTATGGTGTGCTGTCAACACGAAAGAAAGCTCCCAGCCAGGCTGAGTCCTCCTTCTGGAACAAGCCCAGGCAAAGGTCAACCTCAAGTTGAAACCAAATGGGCATAGGAAGCCCATGCCCCGTGATGGTCCTTCAAGACATCCAATGCCCCACACCTGCTGTCCCGACAAAGGCAGCTTTGTCCTGACCTTCCTAAGCAAAAACTCCAGAACCTGCGTTCCCCAGGGGACATCTCAGAAGACATGGATGTACGTGGTCTTGGAGTCACTGCCCAGAATGTTCCTAGCCGTGCACTTGTAGAAGCCGGCATCCCTCGGGGTGGCATGCTGGATGGTCAGTGACCCTTGAGGGTGAAGGAATCTGTTTCCATAAAGACGGGCCTGGGCGCCTGCCATCAGATGTGACTTGTCAGGCAGCTCCCAGGTGATCTCAGCTTTGGGAATGCCCATGGCCATGCAGTTCATCTTCACTGTGTTCCCAGGCCGTGTGTAGATGACTGGAGTGGGCTCGCTGGTGATCCTGGGGGGATATGCTATCACAATGACTGGAATGCTGGTGACCCAAGGGCCGTAGTCTGTGTCCACCCTGCAGGCGTATGTACCCCGGTCGAACACGGAGGCCTCGCGCACTGTGAGGGTCCCGTTCTCCAGGAGGGAGAAGCGTCCCAAGGCCTGAGTGCCCTCCAGGACCACGCCGTTGGGCAGTGTCCAGGACAGATGTCCTCGCCGGGCCCCTGGGGGAGTGCAGGGCAGGTTCAGTGTCTCCCCATTGATGATGCTCACCAGGTTGCGGTACTGGTTGCTCACGTCGGGTCTCAGCCCCACCTTCAGTGACACCAACCTCTCTGTGTGGCCAGCGGCATTCCGGGCCACGCAGCGGTAAGCTCCAGCATCCCCTGAGGACAGGCCACTGATGTGCAGCCGGCCATCGGCCTTGTGGAAGAAACGATGTAGCCGCCGGCTGGGCTGAAGCTCTGTGCCATTGGGAAGGACCCACAGCAGGGTGGGTGAGGGGGCCCCAGACGCAGAGCAGTTGAGACTGATGGTGTGACCAGCTGCAGCCGTGATTTTCTCGTTCACGGGGTCATGGAACACGGGCTTCTCCATGGGGTCCAGCACGGTCAGCTGCACGATCAGCCTGGCCTCCCCACCCTCATTGCGACCGATGCACGCCAGCTGCACTGAGTCACTCTTCCTCAGGCTCCTGATGTCCAACGTGCCATTGGCATGGATAGTTACCCGGTTTCCGTAGTATGGTGCGGGCAGGACCACACCTTCCGGAAAGGCCCACAGCACCCTTGGGGGAGGAACACCCTCAACTTGGCAGTCGATGATTTTGCGACTGCCCCCAGCCGCCACCTCGCGCACTGTGGTGATGGCATTGGGGTTCCCGTTGATCTGGGGAGGCTGGACATTAACATGAACCCACACCGTTTTCCGGTCCTCCCCAGCATTGTTCCTGACCAGGCAGGTATAGTTGCCGCTGTCCGAGCGCTGGGCTTTCTGGATGAGGAGGGTGCCATCTTCATAGATCTGGTACTTCTCGGAGGATGCAGGGATCAGTCTGTTGGTCGGGGACAGCCACATCACCGTGGGCGTGGGCTCACCCTTGGCATCGCAGGTTACGGTGACCACATCACCATAGGGGACATGGACCACCAGGTATGTCTTGTTCCGGATGGCTGCAGGCTCAGTGACCACCTTGACATGCACTCGCATCTCGTCCTTGCCGACCTGGTTTTCGGCGAAGCAGGTGTAATCTCCAGCCTCCCTCATCCCCACCTCGTTGAAGTACAGTGTCCCATTGTTGAAGACCACGTAGCGCTTGGTACGGCCACCACTGTCATCCGATTGCATCAAGGAGTTGACCAGACTCCCATCCGGGAGGCTCCATGAGATCTCTGGGTTGGGCAGGCCAGTGGCCACGCAATCAACTTTCAGGTCGCCCCCATAAAAGACCCTGTGGTCATTGTCTTCTTTGTGCTCTATCTTGGCTGGTTTCATCACCACATTCACCTTGAGCATGACATAATCATCACCGACCTTATTCCGGGCCACACATAGGTAGTCTCCGGCATCTTTGTCTGTCACTGACTTCACCACCAGGGTCCCATTGGCAAACGCCTTGACTCTGCTGTCAAAGCTGCAGAGAAAAAGAGAAAATGAGGAGATGTCAGCTTCCCAAAGGCTCTGTCCTGGGTTTAAGGCCACTGGAATAAAACAGAAAACATGTGACTCTCATCAGGCCAATGTGCCGGGAAGGCAAAATGCCCAGTGGATTTTACAGCCTATGGGAGATTGTGTCCACACTTGAAAGTGATTGACTGCAAGCAAAAACCCTCTAATGGAGTCTGGCCTGGTCTGGAAATTAATAAAAGGATGTGATCCGAAAGTCAAAGGTGTCACCCTGTTCCTGGGACCGTGTGTGGGTCAAGCATTTGCATGACAGAGTTTACTGTAATGACAAAATCAGATGAAATGCCACCAGCATGGAGAGAATGGATCTGAGTTCACCTTATAAAGAAGTTAAGTTGGCTGGGTGTGGTGGATCACACCTGTAATTCCAGCATTTCGGGAGGCCAAGACAGGATGATAGCTTGAGCCCAGGAGTTTGAGACCAGCCTGGGCAATATAGTGAAATCTTGTCTCTAGGGGGAAAAAAGCATGTAGGTGTGGTGGCACATGCCTGTAGTCTCAGCTACTTGAGAGGCTGAGGCAGAAGGATCTCCTGAGACCAGCCTGGGCAACATAGTGAGACCTCGTCTCGACAATAAATCAAAAAATTAGACAAGCATGGTGACTCGCACCTGTAATCCCAGCACTTTGGGAGGCCAAGGTGGGAGGATTGCTTGAGCTCAGGAGTTTGAGGTCAGCCTGGGCAATATAGTGCAATCTCATCTCTACAAAAGAAAAAAAAGCTGGGCGTGATGGCATGCACCTATAGTCCCAGCTACTCAGGAGGTTAAGGCAGGAGGATTGCCTGAATCCGGGAGGTTGAGGCTGTACTGAGCCATGATCATGCCACTGCACTCCAGCCTGGGTGATGGAAAGAGGACCCCAACTCAAAAATAAAAATAAATAAACGAATAGAGTGGTTAAGTTCTCCTTGGGGAAAATGTTTTAGACATTATTTCTACTCTTGGCAATTAAAAAAAACAAGTATCCCAGCATCAGACAGTGAAGAAGTTCTAAAATTGATCATGTAATGATGGCTATACCTGGAGTTTCAAACTTAAGATTGGATTATTCAGAAGCTGGTATCAAGGCTTCTGCTTTAATCTATAATTAAAGTTAAAAGACACCTGAAACCCCAAGGCTGGTGTGTCATTCCTCTTCCTGAATTCCAAGCACCTCTGAGCTAATATTTTCAGTTTAAAATAGGCAATGCAGAAAGAATAATAGAAAAAAAACAACAACTTCTTAGGCATATGACAGTTTTACAAGTACTGGGGTGTCTTTGAGACATTCAGAATGAATGTTTTGAATTAACTGGTGAAAAAACTCAAGAGGTTCTACCTTTAAAAGTATCCACATTGAATTCTCAATTGCACATACATTATAATGCAGGCCTTAATATTTCTTTTTTTGATTTCTCTAGAGACGAGTTCTCACTCAGTGACCCAGGGTGTAGTGGTGCGATCATAGCTCACTGCAGTCTCCAGCTCCTGGGCTCAAGTGATCCTTCCACCTCAGCCTTTCAAGTAGCTGGGACTACAGTCATGCAACACCAAACCTGGCATTTTTTTAAAAAGATGAGGTCTAGCTGTGTTGCCCCAGCTGAATTCAAAGGCTCAAGCAATTTTCCCACTTCAGCCTCCCCAGTATTTGGGGCTACGGGTGTGTGTCACCACACCTAGCCAATTTTTGTAAAAATTTTGTTGTCGAGATGACTTTTCCCTATGTTGCCCAGCCTTGTCTCAAACCTCTAGTCTTTAACCAATTCTCCCATCTCACTCTCCAGAGTAGCTGGGATTACAGGTGTGAGCCATTACACCTAGCAATACTATTTTTCTGATGGCATGTCTACTATTGAGAGAGAAGATAGCTAGAAAAAGGTTAAGCACAGGCAGGGTAGGTCCCCTGGTAACAATATAGTGAACTTCCCACAGGCCTCCCAGACTGTAGGTTGGTAAACAAGCTTCCTAGGAATCTCTCAGACTAGTGCTTAAGTACTCACTGCTGGGATAGAAAAACAACCAATGAGCTTGCTGCCAGGTGCTGACTAATCAGCTCACCATTAGGCCTCTATCTTCTGTTGATTAGTCCTTAGTATTGACCAATCAGTACAGTTAGTGCTGACCAATCAGCTCACAGCTAATGCTAGTCAATTGGCTCAGTCTTAGGGTTATATAAGCACCAGATTTCAGCTTCAGACTGGAAACTCCCTTCAGTCCCTTCCCAGTGTGGGAGCTTTTCTGTTTTCTCAAGAAATTTTGCTTTCTCAATTTTCTGGCCATTGGTATCTCTCATTCTGGGCATGAGACAAGAAACCCACCCTGAAGAGCTACAGAAGAGCCACAGAACTGAAGAGCCTTGCTGGCTACGATGGAGCTGGCTGAACTGGGAGAGCTACCGGCAGAAGAAGAGATTACAAACTGAGATACTTCTGGAGGCTGAAACCCTTTCAGGGCTTGGCTTGCCAGCCCATTAGAGTCAATACTCCTGGGGCTAGGCTTACCAGCCCACTGAACTGACCCTCTCTGAGGCTCAGCTGCCTGATCCATTGAGCTGACATTCTCAAAGCCTAGGCTGACCCGAAAAATCCATATCACTATGGTGTCATAGATTTTTAAAAACTTAATTTGCCAATGCTTGAATTCAACCTAATCATTGTTAATAAAAACACCTACTAATAATGGTCAAATATGCTGTATTTTGGGCCATGAGTCAGTAAGTAAGGAATTTGATAGGTGTGGAACAGGCACATTTTTAATGTGTCTTGGAGTTTGAATCCAAAAGTCTGCATGGTAGCTCCTGTCTGAAAACGTTCTGAATCTTCTATAACAGTGACCCCTGGCCCTAGTTGTAATCAGATCAACTGAGCAAATATGAAAAACACAGATGCCTATCTATCATAAGGATTTTGATTTCAAGAAGTAAAGCTCCCACCTGTGTTTTTTGTTTGTTTGTTTGGGGTTTTTTTGTTTGTTTTTTTTTAGTTTTCAAATTTGCTTTATTATTTTTAGAGTCAGAATCTTGCTCTTTCACCCAGGCTGGAGCGCAGTAGTGCAATCATAGCTCTCTGCTGCCTCAATTTCCTGGGCTCAAGCAATCTTCCTGCCTCAGTTTCCTGAGTAGCTGGGACTACCAGCATGCATCACAACACTCAGTTAGTTTTTTAAAGTTTTTTTGGTAGAGCCAGGATCTCACTATGTTGCCCAGACAGGTCTCAAGCAACCTCCAGCCTCCCAAAGCACTAGGATTACAGGCATACGACACTGTGCCCAGCAATATCTGTATTTTTAAGTAGTCCTGTTATGTAGAGACAGGGTAAAGAATCCAATCTTTGATTCAACTCCCATGATTTTTTAAAAATTACACTTGACTAAGAATATAATTAGCCAGAATGTAGTAAGAATGATGCCACAGAAATCATAGTGTATGTTTCATTTAGGATGTCTGTGGAGGTATGAACAGAATGATTCAAAATCCTGATGGAACTGGATTCTTGCAGTGTTATCCATTCAGCATGGCCTCAGCCATGCCGTCAACGGAAAACAGTTATCTGAATAGCAGCACACTTGCTCAACTGGAAGGCATTCCAGGGTAAATGGGGTATGTGGTATTCTGCACTGATTGTGCAAGCTTTTCTGGGCACCACCAAGACACTTGACATTTAAAATACAGGCTGGGAAAAGACACCTTAGTCTTTTTCCTGCATTGCAGAGTCCAGGAAGGGAAAAGAAACTTTAGAATGCTGACTTTTCTCCCATCCTGGAGAAGGACCTCATGCTGAGCTGTTTTCCTGTTTTAGCTGTTGAGTGCTGAAGACTCAATGAAATCCAAGATGTCACCGCCACCTCACCGTTAATTAAGGTCAAGTTCATTTTCTCTATCCTCCAATGTCTCTGTCCTCCATTCTTTCTGAAATGCTTATTCATGAGACATGAGCTGTTTTGGACTGAGCCCAGGGCTTCTCAGCCTTGGCACTACTAACATTTGGGCCTGGATGATTCTCTGGGGTGAGCCATCCTGTGCATTTCAGGATGTGGGCAGTGCTTCTGGGATCTGCCTACCAGATGCCAAGCGAACCTTGTGTCACAATTAAAATATGTTACCAGAAAAAGCCAAGTATCTTCCAGGGTAAATCTCCTGGGATGCTAACAACTTCCATAGGTAGATACTTTGGTAGATAGGTAGGTAGATAGGTAAGTAGATAGATTGATAGATGATAGGTAGGTAGATGAGAAGATTGACTTATAGTTGGATTGATTGATAGTACACAGATGAGATAAACAGATAAGATAGTTGATTTATAGGTAGTTTGATAATAAATACATGATGGAGAGAGAGATACCGATGGATGGATGGAAGAATGAATAGATAATAAAATAGACCAATAATGATGAATGAAGGATGAATAGATAGGTAGAAATGGATAAATAGATACAAGGGGGACTCCAAAAAACCTAGACTTTGTAAAAACAAATTGTGTATTAATTCTTACATGTTTAAACTTCAGTCAGCTTCAAAGTACTCCCCGCTGGAAGCAAAATACCTATCAAGACGCATTTTCCACTGCTCAAAACAGTTTGTGAGCTCATCCATTTTGATGCCTTTCAGTGTTTCTGCCGTTTTTTGTTTCACCTCTTCCACACTGGCAAAAGGTTTCCCTTTGAAGATTTTGTTCATCCAGGGAAACAAAAACATCACTAAGGGAGAAATTGGGTGAATAGATAGGGTAGGGAGTGGGAGTCATGCTGTTTTTGGTCCAAAACTGCTGAACTCTCAGTGTGGTGTGGACAAATGTGTTATCATGGTAGAAGAACCAGTCACCTGGTTCAACTTGGAACGTTGCTTCTGAAAATAGTGACACAACCCTCTCAAAACTTCCAGATAAAAACTTTGGTTGACTCTTGGATCTGGAGGAACAAATTCCAAGTGTACTACAAGAGGCCCACCCTCTAAAAGATAATTTGGGGTTTTTTCGTGTCCCCTCTTGTATAGATAGATGGATAGATAGATAGAGAGATAGATAGATGATATAGATGGGTTGATAGATAGGATGGATGGATAGCTAGATAGGTGAGTGGATGGATGGATGAGATAGAGAGAGGTGAATAGATAGATAGATAGACAGATAGATAGATATGAATGGGATAGATAAATAGATGCTACAGATAGGTAGATAGTATGAATGGACGGATGAATGGTTAGACTGAGTCGTTCATGCTATGACAGGGTTTCTCGGCCTCAGCACTGTGGACATTTGAGGGTGGATGGATTCTTTTCTGTGGTAGGGCTTCCTGCACACTGTAGGGTGTTGACAAGCAATCCTGGGCTCCAACCACCAGATGCTACTAGCAAACATCCCAGTTCCCCAGCTGTGACAACCAAAAATATCCCCAGACATTTTCAATTGTCCCCTAGGGGCAAAACTGCCCTCGGATGAGAACCATTGACATAAGTCTATATATTTGGCAACTGCAGTCGCTTGATTAGAAGGTGACTTTTTTTCAACAGCTGACACATTTTATAATTCCAACTGTGCTATCCTGGTGCCTTAATAATAATATTTTTCCATGCTTTCATGTATTGCTAATGTAATATTAAAATAAAGCCTAAGACCTATATGTATTTTGTTGAGATTAACAAATGGAAATAGAAGTAACCTAAATTTTTTTTACCTCATATAACATTTTTAAATACAATTAAAGGCAGGGTGCAGTGGCTCACACCTGTAATCCCAATACTTTGGGAGGCCAAGGTGGAAGGATCATTTGAGGCCAGGAGTTCAAAGATCAACCTGGGCAGCATAGAGAGACCACGGCTCTACAAAAAATTTAAAAATTAGCTGGGCACAGTGGGTGCATGCCTGTAGTACCAGTTGCTTGGGAGGATTGCTTGAGCCCAGGAGTTCAAGGTTGCAGTGAGCTAAGATGACACCTCTGTACTCCAGCCTGGGCCACAAAACAAGACCCTATTTCTAAAATAAATACCATAAATAAATACAATTAAAAATGTAATTATTAAAAGAAAATTTTCCTTATTCCATTTTTTTCTGTCATTTTTCTTCCTTCCTTCTCCTCTTCTTCCTCTTCCTCTCTTTCCTCTGTTTTCTTCGTTTTCTCCTCCTCTTCCTCTTTTTCTCCTCTTTCACTTTTTCCTCTTCTTTTTCTCCTCCTCCTCCTCTTTCTCCTCTTCTCCCTTCCCTCGCCTCTCTCCTCCTCCTCTCCCTCTCTCCTCTTCCTCTCCCCCGTTCTTCTTTTTCTTCTTTTTCACAAAGGTTTGGAGTTGGGGAATGTAACGAGTAAGGCACTCACCAGACCCCAGCTTACAAGGCTAAGGTCTCACCGTGTGAACATGTGCAGACGTGGAGCCACCTACCTGAAGAGCACGTCAACCACCCGCTTGGATGGCAACCTCCAGAGGATGCGTGGCCAGGGGTCCCCCGAGGCGCTACAGTCCAGCCGCAGGGTCCCCCCATACCTGACGTCTGTGCTGCGTGCTGAGGTGCCGGTGATGCGCGCATTGGCTGCAGTGCGCTGCACAGCCAGCTGCACGGTCCTGCGTGCCGAGCCCACCAGGTTAGCGGCCACGCAGTCATAGCGGCCGCTGTCCTTGGGCGCCAGGTTGCGGATATAGAGGGTCCCATTGGGGAAGACGAACAGGTTCCCGTGCAGAAACTGCGATGGGCGCACCTGGGTGCCATCGGCCAACACCCAGCGCAGGCTGGGCGGCGGTGCAGCCTTGGCCGTGCAGTGGACGTGGATGCTCAGGCCCGGGGGCAGTGAGATATTCTCCGATTTCTCCTGCTGGATGACAGGGGGCAGTGCTGCCACGTGCAGGCGGATGGCCAGGCTGTCCGCACCAGCTGCATTGCTGGCCACACACTTGTAGACTCCTCTGTCTGAGAAGGAGGCCTCCTTGATGGACAGCGTCCGGTTTTCGTGCAGAGTAACGCGGCCCTCCATGGGGGACACGGCATGCCACACCCTCCCATCTGGGAAGAGCCAGGAGATCTGGGGGGCCGGAGTCCCCTTGGCCAGACACTCCATGGTGATGGTGTCGCCCAGGTAGACGGTGACATCCTGGTAGTGGGAGGCCAGGATCTGAGGCTGCTGCACGGAGACCGAAAGCAGGAGTGCCATCCGGTCCAGGCCATGCAGGTTGCTGGCTGTGCACACGTACTGGCCCCGGTCCTGGACCTGGACCTTCCGAATGATCAGTGTGCCATTTTTAAGGACCTCAAAGCGTTGGATCCTGGTATTAGGAGTCATGAGAGCTCCTGCAAGGAAAACAAAAACAAAAACCCACATGTCATCAACTCTGACTTAATCCTCCTTTCTAGGAGTATTATCAGTTCATTAACCTAATTCTCCTCTTTCAGGCCCAAATGGCAAGATCCAAAGTAGGAGAGATACTGTTTTGGTGGTGAACCATCAAGGAAATGTAAAATCACAGTGAGATACCACCTCCCTCCTGTGAGAATGGTTATCATCAAAAAGACAAAAGACCACAGTAGAGGCTCACACCAGTCATCTCAGCACTCTGGGAGGCTGAGGTGGGAGGATCGCTTGAGGCCAGAAGTTCGAGACGTCTAGGCAACACAGCAAGGCCTCATTGCTACAAAAAATGGCCGGGCGTGGTGGCACATGCCTATAGTCCCAACTATTCTGGAGGCTGATGCAGTAGGATCATCTGAGTCCAGGAAGTTGAGGCTGCAGTGAGCTGTAATCGCACCATCATGCTCCAGCCTGGGTGACAGAGTGAGATCCTGACTCAAATATATAGTGAAAAGAAAATCACTGTACACAGTTAAATTAGTTCAGTCATTATAGAAAACATTATGGAGGTTCCTCAAAAAATTAAAAATAGAACTATCATATGATCCAGCAATCTCATTAATGGGTGTGTGTATACATATTATATACATACATATTATATATAAATTATAGTGATGGGGTCTCACTATGTTGCCCAGGCTGGTCTCAAACTCTGACCTCAAGTGATCCTCCTGCCTTGGCTTCCAAAAGTGTTGGCACTACAAGTGTGAGCCACCCTGCCTGGCCTTACCCATATGTTTGCATCTGGGGTTTGGCTGACCCTGGAGTGACTGCCCCTGGCAGGATTAGCTAATTCCTAGAGAGAGCAAACAGCTACCTGTGAACGTGCCCTTTATAAGCAAACAGGCCAACCCAGAGCCCACAGCCCAACTACCTCTTTTATAGGGTTTTCACACTCTAGCCATTACACTCCTGCCACAATCACCTCAGGGTCAGGTACCAGATAGGGACACTCCCACATGCTCCAGAGTCTGCTGAAATTTTCAGGCTCTCAATTCTAACCCTCACCTCTTTCTTCCCATAGAAACTACCACAATAAAATGTGCTTGTCCACAGTTCCCCCCATCTCTCTGCTTACTAACCACTCCTGATGCTTCTCCCCGTGACCCTGCATGCTGGGATGTGTTCACGCTTTTTGGGATCTGTGAGCAACAGACTACTTTGTCCATGTCCACTGTGCCCTTTTGGCTTCATAATATAGGCCAGGTGTGGTGGCTCATGGTTATAATTCCAGCGTTATGGGAGGCCAAGGCAGGAGGATCGCTTGAGGCCAAGAGTTTGAGACCAGCTTGGGCAACATAGTAAGTTCTCATCTCTACAAAAAAATCAAAAAATTAGCCAGGTGTGGTGACACCTGGAGTCTCAGCTACTCAGAAGGTTGAGGTGGGAGGATCACTTGAGCCTAGGAGTTCAAGGCTTCAGCAAGATATGATGTGCCACTGTACTCCAGCCTCAGTGACAGAGCAAGGCCTTGTCTCAAAAAAACCAAACTGTAAATAAAACTTCATATTCTTCAGATGAGGTGGACTCCCTGTGGCTGATAGAAACACTCAAATTCACAAGACAAGATTGGTCATGTGCCCCTTGTTCTGAGAAAGGCAATGCTTCATAAACATCCTGCTCGGTGTCCCAGACTTCTGAATTGAAGCTTGGAAACCACCCAATGAAGGCTCAATGCTTTCGACCAATCAGAACTAAACAAATTTGAATCCCCCATTTTTGTAAACAGACCTGATGAAGAACCAGGCCAAGAATGAACCCTATTGAAGCCAAATCCTTTCTTTGTTTTACAGAGCACCCATTTTCATTATATTGAAGATTGTCCCTTTCCAATCTGCAGATCTTTTTTTTTTTTTGAGTTGGAGTCTCACTCCATCACCCAGACTGGAGTGCAGTGGCCACTCCCGGCCACCGACCTGCTGGGTTCCGGTGATCCTTCCGCCTCAGCCTTCCAAATAGCTGGAACTACAGGCACGCACTACCACGCCCAGCTGATTTTTTTTTATTTATTGTAGCGATGAGGTCTCACCAAGTTTCCCAGGCAGGTCTCGGACCCATGGGCTCAGGTAATTCATTCACCTCAGCCTCCCAAGGCGTGGGATTACAGGCTGAGCCACCAAGCCCAGCTGATCGTTTTTTAATTAAAAAACCATTTAAAAAACAAAGATTTCCACTGGGCATGGTGACTCATGCCTATAATCCCAGCACTTTGAGTGTCCAAGGTGGGAGGACTGCTTGAGAACAGGAGTTCAAGACCAGCCTGGACACATAGTGAGACCTTGTCTCTACAGAAAATTTAAAAATTAGCTGGGTATGGTGGTGCACACCTGTAGTCCCAGCTACATGGAAGGCTGAGGAGGGAGAATCGCCTGAGCTCAGGAGATGGAGGCTGTGGTAAGCTGTGATCGTGCCACTGCACTCCAACCTGGGCAACACAGTAAGACCCCACCTCCAAAAACGAGGAAAAAAGAAAACAAAGGTTTCCCCTTTTCTTCTACAGATCTCATGATCTTTTTTGTTGATACCAAAATATAATAAAACCTTCATTTTTAAACTCCAGCCCAGGAGAACCCTGAGTTTCAGTACCCCTTCTTCTTCCATGTTGCCAGTTCCTTCTTGAGTCTGGGCTTCACTCACAGACTACTTGCTTCGTTCTGACTCTTGCTGATAAGTTTCTCTGATGTGGGAGTTCTGGATGGAAGATTTAAATGAAGACTTCAAACCCTGGGAGCATTCCATAATCTTCATTCTCAAGTGGAAATATTCATTTTCTCTGACAAGGCATCTGTGTTCTCCCCATGAAAATGCTATGTCCATGGGTGGATGTTTCCAGGGCAAAACACTCACTGAAACATGGCCACTATTCTGGTGTGTTTACAGAGCTGCCAAGACCATGGCTGTCCTTTTCGAAGATAGGCTTGGCCAGGTGAGTCACTAGGTGAATCTATCTGCCCAGCCCACTAGGTCCTGGGGTGCAGGTCTTGGTTGGTGCCGGTATAATCTCCCTGCCTTCCAAGCAATGAGGCTACAAAATGGTCCAGCTTTGTGTTCCAGCCCTCCTGAGTGACAGGTGACTATGCTCATGGACATACACCTGCTGATGTCCACCCCTAGAGTCCCACCTCCTGACCAAGGCATTTTTTGCTTCAGAGGTCCAAGAGTGCTTGTCTATTTCATTTGGGAGAGGAGAACCATTAAAACTTCCTCCCAATCTTCCAAGGGCGGTTGCAAGGGGGACCCCCAAAAAATGGAATTATCTTTTGGAGGATGGGCCCCTTGTAGTGCAGGCTTCTGCTGCTAGATAAGTGTTCTAGGAACCCATCAACAACCATGTACCAGCTGGCGTTGTTGGGAAAGGTTGCATTCAGCTTCAGTGTATTTTTTTAGAGATTCTCTCAGTGTGTTTGCCCATTTCATGATGGTTGATTGACGAATGCACCTGCCCACGCTGCGCTGAGTATTCAGCAGATTTTGACCAAATTGGCATGACCCTTCATGCTCTACCCTCCCTATTCACTCAATCTCACTCCAAGTGACTTTTTTTGTTTCTCTGGATGAAAAAAGTCCTCAAAGGAAAATGTTTTGCTGATATGAAATAGTGAGTTCAAAAAGTGTTTTGTGCAGTGGTAAAAGCATCTCAATAGGTGTATTGCATCAAATGGAGAGGACTTTGAAGATGACTGAAGCATAAACATGTAAGAGTAAATACAGAACTTGTTATAAATAAATTGCATTTGGGGGAGATCCCCCTCATATAAGTTGACCTCATAGTTCTCTCTGATGCTGCAAGAAACTTGTTGATTTCTTTTTCTGGAAACAAAGGTGTGATACAATCACATCCTGTTGCTCCATGACATTAGACTGCAACATTCCGTGGATGTGAGCCAAATCTCATTCTACCTTGCACTGAGATAGAACTTTCTAGAAACAAGTGCTCACTAACAGAAGAACAGTCAGCATTTGGAGCCAATTGCTGGAAATATAGAAGAAAAATATGTGTGAATGTTTGGTGAAGCGTCATGGTCCAAAGTGTATGTGAATTAACCTGGGGAATGGAAGATCCTAAGGATTAATTGGATCTCCCAGTAAGGGAATTGGTTCCTTCAAAGGCATAACCTTGAAAAGTCCATGGGGTCTGCTGTCTCCTACTTCAAGAAAAATTCATGAAGAAATCATGAAAACCTACAACTTCAAAGGATGAGCTGATCAAAGAAGTAAACCTTTCCCCCAGGCTTAGAGCCTCTGTGACCCTCTGGAATGTTTCCAACCTTTGGAAGACAAAGTTGTGCAAAAAAAGGTACAGTTTTGCTAGGTGCTAGCAGCATAAATCATTCCTGGATTATCCAAATGGAGAAAATTCACACACACACACACACACTTCTTTCATCAGAATCTTGGGCTGAAAGAGACAGTTGTGCTGACAGAGAAGACATGGGTAAAAAGAAAAGATAAGGTCTTTCAAGAAGGCTGTGGTTTTCAGATGTTATTTTCTTCAGTTACCTAGAAATTGTTTTGCTGTTCAAACAAAGCAGATGGTCAATATGATACATCTTTGGGCGCTTTCATTTAATTGTAGATCATTGTTGTAGGCAGAATTGTGTCCTTGAACAAATTATGTGTTGAAGATCTAACCCCTAGTGCCTCAGAATGTGACTGCATTTCAAGATGGGATCTTTAAATTGATAATTAAGGTACAATGAAGTCACTAGAGTGGTCACTGATCCAATAGAATTGGGATCCTCATAAGAAGAGGAGAGGAGGACAAAAACATACACAAAGGGACAACCCCATGTGGACACAGGAGAAGATGGTGTCTACATATCCAAGGAGAAGCGCGAGGAGGAACCAGCCCTGAGACTCCTTGGCCTCGACTTCCAGCTTCCAGGATGAGAGAAGACAAATATCTGTTGTTTAAGTCACCTGGGCTATGGGACTTTGCAATGGCAGCCTGAGCTGACTAACACAATCACATCTCCGGGTTCAAATAAAAGAAACACCTGATTAGGGCTTAGAAGATTAGACAATGGTTTCTGACCAAGCTGACTTTGCCCTTGAAAGTCATTAGGAGGGAAAAGGTGATTTGTAGAATCCTACTCACATCTACTCTGCCTCACATGGTTGACTGAAAGATACTCTACTGAATTGACGGGGAAGACTTAAGAGGCTCCATTATGGGATATTCTGAAGCCTGGGTTATTCCCTACCCAAGAGACTATTAAAGGTTTCCATGGCTTTGACAGAATCTCACCAATTCCTCTCTGCAAAGGAACACTCTTAGATCTAAGCTCTCGGATGTCTCCTCCCATCCCACCAATGGTTCTGCCTGGAGTCCTAGTCTCTAGTATTGTCCTCTTCCATGGACAGTGGATACAATGTAGACACCCCAACACCTTACCTGTGGAAACCTTTGTCCAAGTAACAAAAGGCTTGGGTTTCCCTGTTGCCTCACATGGGAACACAGCATCTGTCTCAGCAGTGACGGACACGGTCTGTGGGGATTTTGTGATGATCTGCGGCTTTTCCCCAAGGGTCCAGAACTTGGATGCAGGCGGTCCTCCAGCAAAAAACTTTGAGCTGCTCTGGTGGAAGCCTACTGAGGACTGGGCGGAGGACGTCACAAAGGAGATAGAGCTCCGGGTGGAAGTGATCAGGGGGATATTCTGTAAGTTAGTGGAGGGTGACATCGTGGTCCGGGGAGAGTGCAATACTGGAGGTGCCGGAGGGCCAAAGTCCATGTGAAAGATGCCCTGGGAATTTATCCTATTGTAGGGACCTGGGTTGACCTTTCTCTCCCTTGTCACTGGGGTGGGAGAGCTGGATGTCTGGGGCTTCTGAGTGACTCCCAACTGTGGGAAAGAAAGAGTCCTGTTGATGAAGAAAGGGAATCTTCCGCTGGAATAATGAGGCGTTCTTGAACTTGGAAGTTTGCTAACTGGGTGTCTTGGCTCAGGGAGATCATTATTTCCACGCACTTTGGAGTAGTCATTGAACTGGTCAGTTCTTGGGTCGGGAAACTTACCAGGAATGCCAGGTTTAGACATGTGCAATGGAAGAGGAGTTGTGGTACTTGATAATCTTGGAGTCGTCAAGTGTTCGTTCCCCGGCAAAGCCCTTGAAGGATATGCAGTTACTTCTGGTTTGTTGGTCAGGTGATGGGGTGGCTGGAAGGTTACAAAATATCTAAAGGGGCTTTGTATGGCCACATCAGGTGGTCTCACTGTTCCCTTTGGTGGGACAGGTTTGGCAAGGACTCTGGTGGGTTGATGAGAAGGGTGGACTCTTCCATCCAGGTGTTGACTATCTGGACCATGTGGTAGACTATTTTTGCTCCTACCATCAAACACTTCCTTTCCCAACGCCTGATTTGGGGACAAGTTAAATGCATTCTGGTAGAAAGTGGGAGTAGATAATTCATTTGGCCTCAATGTGTGCTGAGTCAATTCACTGTCCATTGGGGGTGCTTTGGTTTCTGGGTTCCCCACATAATTCAAGAAAACATTTTCCTTGGGATCTGTAAACGTCAGAGAGGTTCTTGAACTCAGAAGTGCTGGCTCAGTGGTAGTTTCTGCCAAAACCATAAGAGTCGTGGGTGAGAAGGGGGAGGCTGGTTCTTCCGCCAGAGCAGGAGTAGAGATGTGATTCTGTGGTCTGGTTTCAGAAGAGAGAAGAGCAATAGTGGTTTTATGATGTTCTTGAACATGAGTGGTGGTATCTGCGTGACTTGAAGACGGCTCTTTTTTTATGCTTGAGAGAGTTGTCAGAGCACCAATTTCTTCCCATTGAAGTGGTGTGGAGACCGTCACAGAAGGTGAAAACTCAGAAGTAAAATCCATATCTTCCAGCCCTTTAAGAACAAGGTTTTTCCCAAAACTGGTGACAGATATGTCTGTTTGCAGTCTCCCAAGCTCAGAAGTCCTTGAAGGGCTCCAGGTTGGCGATTCTGGAAAGCCCAAAGAAGAGAATTCTTCCTTAAATTCTTCCACAGTGGAGACTGAGGACTCAGAAGTTGATACAACACTAGTGATTGACTCTATGGGTACTAAAGTATCAATTTTATAGTTGTTGACATCTGTGAGACTATCATCCTTAATTTCTTTCCCATCTGATATGGGTGTATGTGTGACTGAAAGTGTCTCTTGGATTTTAGGGTGAGGTGATCTTATTTTTGTGGTAGTTGTATAATCCTCCACTCTGGTGATGTTATATGAGTCTTCCATTTTCAGAGAAACAGTTCTAGACAAAAGAATAGTTTCTGAACTGGGAGTAATACCACTGTGATGTTTATTTTCTGATGATACACTGGGCATGGATACAGATGCTTTTGAGCTCTCTGTAGAAGTGGTATGTCGATGCTTGTTTGGCTTCCTTCCATGTTTCCTTCGTGGGGTTCCCTTGGACACAGGCTGTGCATCCTTCTTTATTTCCAGACGTTTGGGGATATTCACTGTGTTATCAACAGAAGATGTAGGAGCCAGCAAACTCTCCACTTGTTTTGGAATCTTAATTTCAGATGCTTGAGTTGGTTTAGTAGAAAAAGTCTCTATTGGGGTAAGAGTTGTTGGGGTTTGCTTATGCTGGTGGTGGAATTTGTGGGGGCGTAATCTCCTCCTTCCATTGGGTCTTCTTCGAGAAGAGTGAGTGACTGGAACTGATGGTGAACCCATCTTCTGGCCTGGTGTTGTCACTGTTGCCATCATGGTGTCTTTGGCCAACAGGGTGCCAAGTGTGGTTTCCCTAGGCGGCTTAAATGGAGAGACATTGTTCATCCCTCCCAGTGAGGAATCAGGTACAGTGATAGAAGTGATATCCTGCCCCTCACTCTGAGAATTTCTAGAGTTTGTGAGGTGTCTTTCTAACATATCTCCTTCCTGTGCTGTCCGAGATTTACCCTTTATCTTCTTTTTATTCAGTGTGTTACCTTGAGTGCTTAAATCACTTTTCAGAAGCTGGATGTTGTCTGTGTGTCCTTGTAGATGTGATTGAGCTGGGACACCTGCTTTCCCTAAAGTGGGATTGTCCAATGTCTCAGAAGTACTGGAGTCAGCAACCCATGCAGTAGGGGTTGGAAAAAAGTGGACAGAGGTCTGTTCTTTCATCTTAGCCTCATCTGGGTATGAATTAGTCTCCAAATCTGGGTAAACGTATTGCACAGTTTCAGACTCAGTAAAGGAGGTAGCATCCAATGGAGGCTCATACTCATTTGATGTAGGCTCTGGCACAGATCCAACATCTGTTGTAAGCCAATGCCCTGTTGCTGTCTCTTCCTCGGTGGGCTCTTCATAGATGGTGTCCAGGGTCTGTAGAGTGGGAGAAGATTCATAAGGTTCAGATATCAGTGTCGGGGTTTCAACCCACTTCGTGGCCCCTTCAGTGGAAATTATCTCCTCAGTCTTCTCAGAAAACTCATCCTCAATAACATCTTCTGGGGGCACATCTGCTACTTTGGGTTCAGAAAGAATGACTTCATTGTGGTTGTGTTCTAGTCCCATCCTGGCTAAAGACATGGTACTCAAAACCTGCTCTTCCTCACCAAATAAAGACATATCTGCTGAGGACTCTTCAGCACTGGCTGCTGCCTGCACAGGTGCTGCTGAGAGGGGAGACACAGCTGGTGAGAGAGGTGTTACTTCTAGATGCATGGATGGAAGAGTGGTAGTTTGAATGGCCTGGGGCACTTCTGTGCCCTTGGGGAGATTTTTCCCACGGACTCTGGCTAAAATATCGGCCCAACGCTCTGGATTAATCTGCTTGTTCGCCATGTTTATCCTCCGTCTGGACTCAAACACTCTGCGGCCTTCTGCGACATTGGTCTCCGGTTCTTTTTCAGAATGCTTCCAGAGTTTCTGTTTCCTTCTTCCTTTCCTGACTTTCTTGTCTCCAAGGATGGCCTCATCCTTTGTTTTGATGAGTGCTTCTTGGTCCTTCGGATGCAGAACTCTCCTTGAAGTCTTTCCCTCTCCCATGCCAGAGCCCCCTTCATCCTCCACAATGTCTTCTCTCACTCTGGAAAGAGACTTTGCGCCAGGACGTCGGCCTCTTTTGGAAGACCTGCCGGGTCCTTTCTTATGCACTGTAATTCCCACTGTAAAATGGTCTGCCCCTTGTTGGTTGACAGCCACACATCTATAGTAACCGCCATCACTGACTTGGACCTCTGGGATGGACAGAGTTCCATCTGCCAGCATGTACACATGTGACATGTTAGCCAAATTGTTAACTATCCTTCTGTTTGGGAGGATCCAGCTGAGGTGGGCTTCGGGTATTGCCAAGGCACTGCAAGGCAGCATCACAGACTCCCCCGGGTCCTTGTGAATTGTCATCAGATCTCTCTCCAGTGAGGGCTGAGTGGAAGGAGACTGCACAAAAACCCTGTACATCATCTGATCTGTTTCATCCCTGACCTGTGCAATGCACTGGTACAAGCCTGAGTCAGAAGGCTCCATGGATTTAATTTTCAGCCAGCCACTGCTGAGGATAGAGAACTTGCCCTCCCGATCATCCATAGGAGCTTTCAGAATGGAACCATCCGGGAGCACCCAGAAGATAGATGGGCTCTCAGAAGCTTTCACATTGCAACTCAGCTGGCATGAACCCCCTTCCAGGATGGTCTCAGCTCTCTGCACTGCCGTGCTGGGCTCAATCATCACCCAGCTTCTGCTCCGAGCCTGGCTTGTGTCTTTGGAAGATAAAGTTAGAGAGTGCTCAGCATAATAGGAGAGCAGGACCTTCTTGGCTGTGCTCTGACGTCGATTCAGCTGGATGTCTATGGATGGCTGCATGACCCATTCTGGTTCTGCAAGGATCTGGGCTCTGACGCCAGTGTAGTAAAGGGCATCATCATCAATGTCTTGCCGGTACTGGTAACTGACTCTGGGGTCTTTGCTGAGCATAAGTTCTCGGTGCAGCTTCACAGGGACTTCGCTGTAATACGCTATCAGCTTCCACAGCTTTTCATAGTTTTCCCGAGTCATCGGACACTCAAAGTCCAAGGCGACTGTTGCATTGATACTGATCTCTGGAGGATCCGTCTGGTTCAGGTGAAGTCTGTACACATCTGTTGGTTTCTTGATGTCACAGACCAAGTTGACCATGTTCCCATGCTCGTCGGTCATATTCAAAGAGATATTCCACAGGGGGAGTTGGAACTTCTCCAAAACAAGCTGGCTGTCACCATCCTCCTCTTCTTCCTGCTCCTCTTCACTGCTTCTGCTCTTGTTCTGTCTCAGAGGAGACTCAATGGAAGGCTTCAGGCAAGCAATGTCATTCAACTTGTGAATCTCTTGCTTGTACAGCTTCTTGGGACTGGAACACATGGCACACAACTGACCGCCTTCATAAGCTTTGTCCTTCTTACACTTCAGAACCCCTAAAACACATGAGCAAACAAATAGTGAGCAAAAGTGCCAAAGAATGTCATGCCTTGAACGTGGGTGGAGGATAAAGTCTCCATCTGCTTCTCTATCATCCAGGTGTAACTCTATAAGAAGGAATTGCACTCCTGACTTGACTCTGATGCTTCATGTGTGACTTTAAATCACAGTTTTTACCTAAAACCTCACTAAAAAATGGGCAAAGGGCATGAACAGACACTTCTCAAAAAGAGACATACCAGTGGCCAACCAATGCAAAAAAAAGTCCAACATTGCTAATCTTCAGAGATATGCAAATCAAAGCCACATGAGATATTATTTCATGCCAGTCAGAATGGCCATTATCAATTAGTCAAAAAACAATAGGCGTGGGCAAGGATGAGGAGAAAATGGAGCGCTAAGACACTGTTGGTAGAGATGTAGATTAGTTCAAACTCTATGAAAAACAGCCTGAAGGTTTCTCAAAAAACTAAAAATGCAACGACCGTATTTGATCCAGTAATCCCACTCCTGGCTATCTATCCAAAGGAAAAGAAATCATTATATAAAAAAGACACCTGCACCATATGTTTATCACAGCATTATTCACAATGGCAAAGCCATGTACTCAACCTAAGTGTCCATCAACAGAGGACTGGATGAACAAAATGCTATGGACTCCTATTCACTCTTAAAAAATAATGAAAGTATGTCTTTTGCAGCAGCACTGGAATTGAAGGCCATTATTCTAAGTGAAATGACTCAGAAAAAAGTCAAATACTGCATATTCTCACTTATAAGCAGGAGCTAAACAATGTATATATACAGACACAGACAGTGGAATAACAGATACTGGAGATTCAGATGGGTGGGAAGGTAAGAAGGAGGTGGGAGTAAAAAATTACTTAATAGGTACAATGTTCACTCTTTGGGTGACTGATACCCAAAAAGCTCAGACTTCACCACTGTGCAACATATCCATATAAGAAAACTGCACTCCTTAAAAAATGTAAAGAATAAATTTTAAAAATTGATTAAAATTTTTAAAATTGCAGTTTTGTACAGTGTATGATAACTAACTAGTGTTTTATCATTACTTAATACTGAGTAATAATTGCTAATGTTTTTTATTTCAATCTTTTCAGGTAAAAGAAAAAGAAACTTAATTTACAGCATTATGCAATTTATCTTCTGCGAAAGTCCAAGAGAATCTATGTAAACAATTGCAAATCATGAAGCTATTTCCCTGGGTGCAGTGGTCGACAAAAGGAAAGGAGGAGAGAGGAAGCGAGTGAGAGAGGGAGAAGGCAAGAAGAAAGGGAGGGAGGGAAGAAGGAAAGAGAGTGAGGAAGGAAGAAAGGAAGAATAGAGGGAGGAAGGGAGGAGAGAGAGAAGGATAAATGAAGGAAGAAAGGAGGGAGGGAAGAAAGAAGGGAGAGTGTGGGGAAGGAGAAAGTGAGGAAGGAAGGAAAGAGGGAGAAGGAAAGAGCGAAGGGAGGGAGGGAAGAAGAAAGGAGGGAAAGAATGAAGAAAGGAAAGGGGAAGGAGTAAAGGGAGGCAGGGAGGAAGGGAAGTAGGAAGCAAAGAGGGAGGAAGGAAGGAAGGAAGGAGGGAGGGAGGGAGGGAGGGAAGGAAGGATGGAGGAAGGAGAGAATGAGGAAGGAAGAAAAGAGAGCGAGGAGGAAGGAAGGAGAGAGGCCGGGATGAAGAAAGGAAGGAGGAAGTGAGCAAGGAAGGAGGGAAGAAGAAAGGGAGGGAGGAAGGAAAGAAGGAAGAAAGGACAGAAGGGAAAGAAGGAAGGAGAAAGGAGAGAAAGAAGAAAAGAAGGAAGGAGGAATGAGGGAGGAAAGGAGGGAGGGAAGGAGTGAAAGGAGGGAAGGAGGGAAGGAGAGAGGGAGGAAGAGAGGGAGGGAAGGAGAAAAGGAAGAAGAGAAAGAGGGAAGGGAGAAAGAGAAGAAGAAGAGAAGGAGGGAAAATCATCCTTGTTGCAGACCACAATTTATTTTCTTGCAACTTCTGCACATGGGTCCTTCTTGTTCTCTGAATCAACACTCAGTATCTCTCTCCAGTCTGTTAAAGCGTGTTTTCACAAACACCTCCAACGTCCCCACAGTCTGCTCTTTTTCAAACATCCTTGGATAATTCCTCCTGGAACATGGGCTCACAGACCCTTCCCCACTCCATCTTTCTACACTAAGCTGGACATCCCTCTCCAGATATGCATTCTATGAAAATCCAAGTCAACTGTATGTAAGATTTTCCATGACCATGGCTTTCCACTGTACCAAGGGACAGATGCACTTGTGTGATAAGATGCCCGTGTCTTAACATCTCTGTGGTAATGAACCATGTGTGCATCTCCTACCTTCCTGACTGCCTACTTGGATTCTATCCAATGCAGGGTGAATACACCAACATGAGGACCTTGGAGCATGGAACCTTTCCAGCAAGGTCAAAGAGTGTGTGGCTAGGACTCCCTTTCCTCACCTCTGGACCTAGCATCCCATTCCAGAAACCACTGCATGTCACAGTCGCAGGACCACGGATTCCCCTGCAGGTAGAGGTTCTCCAGCAGCGGCATGTTTTGAAGCATGCCCGTGGGCAGAGTTCGGATCCTGTTCTCAGCCAGGTAGAGGTGTCGGATGGTGGAGAGCCTGAAATAATCCAGGAAAGTAAAGGTAGAGAAGGTGCTGGGGTGCAGCTGGTGGAGAAGGTTCCCCTCTAGGTGGAGAAGCCTCAGGGACGTCAACCCGCTGAACGCTTGTGGATGGATGAACTCGATCTTGTTGTGGTCAACGTGCAGCCGCATTAAGCTCAAGAGCCCTTGGAGGGTCCGCCCCGTGATCACCCTTAGCTTGTTGTAGCTGAACTTGAAAACCTGCAAAGACAGGGGAGCACAAAACAACCCTGTTTACAGCATATGAGGGGGACCCCAAAAAAGACCCTGAATTGCCCTCCCTATTTTGTAGGGTGGGCCCCTTGGATACAGGCTTTCTCTGCTAGGTGAGTATTCTAGGAACCCATCCGTGGACTAGTCAGCATTGTTGAGAGAGGCTGCGTTTGGCTTCCGTGAATTTTTTTTGCAGATTCTTTCAATGTGTTTGCCCATTTCAGGATGGGTGATTGATGAGCACATCTGCCCACACCGTGCTGAGTGTTCGGCAGTTTTTGACCCTAAATGGCATGACCCCCGTGCCCACCCTCCCTATTTTTTTGTTTCCCTGGATAAAAAAAATCCCCAAAGGATAATGTTTTGCCCATGTGAAAGAGATGAAACAAAATACTGCAGAACCACTAAAAGGCATCAACATGATTGAGTTCAGAAACTGTTTTAGGCAGTGGAAGTGCTTTGAAGGTGACTGAAGTTTAAACATGTGAGAATAAATACACAATTTTTCATAAATAAATTACATGGTTTCTTTGGGTCTCTCTCATAAAAAGCGACAGTCAAGAGCAAAAACCAGCACAAAGATCTGGAAAGTAATGACACTGAGCTTGTTTTTCATGTCAGAAAATAGTCATTTATGGATCATTAGGAAGAATTATAAAATTTTCTTTCTTTATGATGGATCTTAGAGAAGCACGTTCAATCCATAGCACAAGGACCACATGCAGCCCAGGACAGCTAGTCACACGGCCCCACAAAGTCTTGCAACATTATGTGTTTCTTAGCATTTATTTTCTTCATGATCCCATGCATAGCTCTATTTTTGAAGTTCACAAACACACCTTATTCATGACATCACTTTTCAGCAGCACATACATTTGTGAGCAGCTATTTTTAATTATGAAGCACACAAAGAGAAAAATGCAAACAAACATTGCTGACAAGCACCTTGAGAATGCACTGAGAATTGCAACCCCTTCCATCAAACCAGATGTCAATAGATTCATTTTACAAAAACAAGGTCAGATTTCCCACTAGTTTTTACTGTTCTTATTTTTCTAAACTTTGTAATAAAAATATTTTTAAAAGAAGTCTTATTATGCATATATACTAACTACATTCTATACTTTATTGTGCGACCCAAGACAATTCTTCTTTACTCAATATGGTCCAGGGAAACCAAAAATTTGGACACCCCTGCTTAGATGATGCAAGGAGGGATTCTCATCAATGCCCAAGGCTTACCTGCAGGGAGCTGAGGTCCCTTAAAGCCCCATCAGGAATGCTTGGAATGTCATTGCCATGAATCATAAGTAGTTCCAACTTGGTCAGTCCTGCAAATGAGGTTTCCGACAGAGCCTGTATACTATTAAACCTAAAAAAGGATGATAATAATTAGACGAAGAAATAGCAGATTCTTAAGTCTTATGTAAGAAACATTTCCCGGCCTGCCCAGAAGCAAGTTAGCAAGATGATGATTCTGAGATCATATGAGTGCCATTCCCAAAATACACACACTCGTTCATGACCTTATCCGTCTCTGGAATCCAAAGAAAAGGGACTCTTTCCTTCTAACTAACTTAAGAAAAAAATGCATTAGTCTCCATTCAACCAAGAAATGGTCACAGAGATTTGTGACTTGGTATATGCTAGTGTAGTGAAGAAACTTTCTGGTGGCAATTAGTAGAATTTAGAATGCTGAATGAGGCTGTTTCCTATGGCTTCTTGTCAGAAACCCTGCACTGAAGTGACAATAATAATGTCTGAAGTAGCAGTAATAACGAGTGCCAGGTGGCTAGCAGGAATGGAAAAAAAAAAAACAGACAAACAAACACAGCTTTGGGAGTAGCTTTGCATATAATAAGAAGGAAAAGTGGCTGGCCACAGTGCCTCACACCTATAATCCTAGCACTTGGGGAGGCCAAGGCAGTAGTTTCGCTTGAGCACAGGAGTTCGAGACAGGCCTGGGCAACATGGAGTGACTCCATATCTACGAAAAATAAAAAATATTAACCTGGCATGGTGGTGTGTGCCTGAAGTTATAGCTACCCAGGAGGTTGAAGTGGGAGAATCACCTGAGCCCAGGAGGTCGGGACTGTGGTAGGCCAGGATTGCGCCACTGCACTCCAACCTGGGAGACAGTGTGAGACCCTGACTCAAAACAAACAAAACAAAACAAAACAAAAACAAAGAGTGCTCTGTGCTAAGGCCAAATTGAAATATTGACTGCCAAAACATGAACACGCTTATTTGTTATTTCACAAGGACACATTGCCATGTCTGATGGGTTAGCTGAGTTATTTGTAAATAGGCTGCTTTAAAAAAATATTTTTGGCTTTGATGTTGCATATATGTTGATCAAGATGCTTTCTTGACCAGTTTAGAAATCTTTCATTGCTAGGTTGGTAGTGACAAATGTCAGCCCTCAAACTTGATCCCTGGAGACACAATCACAAAATGAATGCAGAATCCTGCATATTGCTGTTATATCCATGTTTCTGCTGGGATGCAACTCCTCTAGCCTGACATTATTGATTGCTCCTCATCATCACTTAAATAAAAGGAAATCAACTCATAGAAAATACAGGTTGCCAGCTCATAGCTAAATGCCGCAAATTCTAGCCAGTTCCAATGCTCTCATGAGCTCATACCCAGACCCCAATGGCAAAGTCAATAGAAAAACTCAACTGGGTATCAACTTCCCTAAGAGTCAGGCTTAAGAAGGACCTTTCAGTTACAAAGTCTTACTTGCAGGAGATTTATCATCTCCACCGCCAAAAGCATTTCACCTTGATTGCTTCAAACACTTCAAAGACCTAGTCTCCGAATTGCATTGTTATTATTTAAGACCAACATTCGCAAATAAAACATCAGATGAAATTAAACGTGTCCTACCAAATTGCGATAATGTTGCCTGGATTTGAAATGGCTCACTGGGAATAAATAGCAAAAAATAATTCTATTTCCTGTGGAGAATGTGACATGATCCATTCCTCTGGCATCTTATCAGCTGAGCTCTGCTCTATTTAACAGTGGTGAGCGGTGAAATATTAAAATAATTGGGCTCAAAGCTATTTGTGAATGTTATGGTGATGCCTTGGGTTTCATAAAAGGTAGGAAGTTTCACTGGATTTAAGAATTTTCTGCTTCAAATCATTTGTACACTTTACCATCTAAAATCCATGAAGCAGGAATGCTCTACTAATTTCCTCCAAAAGAAACAGAGATTCTGAGAGTGTCTAATTTTTTCAAGGTCACATATCAAGTACGCAGAGAAAAAGGAGTTGAATCATCTCAAAGTTATGTCTTTTCTATTTCATAGTGCTATTTTGGGCTTATTAAAACAAGGTGGGAGCTTAAAAATCCTGCAAACAAGCGCAGCAACAGCAACAAAAACATCCTCAGTATAAAGAACAGGAAACTAATGGAGAAACCGTCTTCTCAGAATACACAGTCATTGCAGGTGAGATCTAGATAACTTGAGACCAAAACTTCCACGTGTATACAGAGACCATTAACTGAGGTGCAAGAGGCTGCAGATACTTGCTTGACACTATTTTATTCAATGAGCTCCAATGTATGAAACTCAAGTGTCTTTTTGGAGGACAAAACTCCCCATAAGGTAAAGTAAAGACAAGTAAAATCCAACAGCTTGAGGCTTTTCTCATGATGTAAATGAGTGAGTGACCCTCCTTGGTGGGTAAATTTTTAAGTAAGAGAAGAAAGAGATACGTTTTCCCGATGATGAGCTTAGCAGTTTTCTGCAGGTGTTGACCACTGCAGACTGCGTGGGGAATTGTGGTTCCAGTTTCTAGATCTTTCTTGTCATCTAGTAGAGATGCAGTTCCTAGAGGTGTGATAGCACCCTGAAAAGGACTCATGTTTTGAGGACAGAAATGCCTCCTGGCTACACAGATAAGTTAATTGACTTTCTTGGACCTCAACTTCCTCATTAGTGATGCTACTGACAACCCTTTTTTCAGAGGGCTGTGTGTGAGTTACAGAATATTACAGAATATAATCTCAGCTGGTACTGTGTTTCAAGGACGTCTGGAAGTCTCTGGAGGGAATGGTATCTATAACAAGGCAGAAACTAGGGAGAGCAAAGGGAAATTTGCTGCAAAATAAGACACAAAGGAAAATACAATAGGCATTAACCACAAAAATTAGCAACAAATTTTGGAAGATCAATGAAATGATGACTTGAGGACAGGAGTTTGAGATCAACGTGGGCAACATAGTGATATCTGAACTCTACAAAAAAAAATTTTTAATTAGCCAGGTACGGTGGTGTGTGCTTGTCATTTTAGCTACTCAGGAGGCTAAGGAGGGAGGATCTTTTGAGCCCAGGAGTTTGAGGTAGCAGTGAGTTATGATCACACCCTTGCCCTCCAGTCTGAGTGACAGAGCAAGTCTCTGTCTCTAAAATAAACAAACAAACAAATAAATAAATAAATAAATAAGCAACTAAATGTATCTAGACTGAGAGGTGGTATGAGTAATAGGTCATATGAGTAAATATGTTCAATGTCGACATAAATCTGCAAATGTTCAAAAACTAATATATATTCAAAAATAACATAATAGTACAATGACAATAAGAGTAAACACTTCCATTCAATTAGTCTATTTTTTTTAAATTTTGGATGCAGAGGGTACCTGTGCAGGTTTTTTGCATGGTTATATTGTGTGATGGTGAGGTTTAAGTTTCTGTGGCATCTGTCTCTCAAATAATGTGCCTGGTACCCAATAGGCATTTTTAATGACCATCTATGGTTGCCATTTTTATTTTTAACAGAACACCTTGCTTCTTTCTTCTTATTTAAGCACACACAGCACACAACAGAAGGCCAATAAACTTGCAGTGTGGGTCTGCTGATGGCATTCTCAGAATTCTTCAAAATTTTGTCTCTGAGTGAAATATCAACATTTAAGAATAATCTCATGCACCTGTGTGCAAAACAACATGAGTCTAAATGTATGTTTCAGAGAAGCCTGCAAGAAAAAATCTAACTGAGACATCTAATTCTATTTAAAAGAACTTTTTAAATCTATTTCAGCAAAATTACCACACAAAAGCAATGGTCATTGCTCAAGACGCATCTCACAAATAAAGAACAAAGCACTGGCACATATTACAATGTAGATGAGTCTGAGAATTATGATATTAAGTGCAAGAAGCCAGTCACTCAAAGTGATCTATCTTATGAGTACACTTCCATGAAATGTCCAGTATAGCCAAATTCATAGAGGCAGAAAACCAATGGATGTTTTCTAAAAGATGGGAGGATCGAGAGGGGTTGAGGTATGACTGCTTAATGGGTGTGAGTTCTCTTTTTGGGGTAATGAAAATATTTTGTACCTAAATAGAGATGATGGACTCACAAAAGTATGAATATAGTCAATGCCACTGAATTGTAGACCCTAAAAGGATGACTGTAATATTACTTCAATTTTACCTGAATTTGAAAAAAAAAATACAAAAACAATGTATAGGTCAACTTTGTAAGTGTCTTCGGGGTGAAGTTAGCTCTGAAAACTACCTTGAATGCTTTCAGACATGGAGAAATAAAAGGAAAAATTAGACAGATGGTGTTTAAGGTTCCCTTTGTATGAAATGGTGCCTGGTGCTGGACCTACCTACACGAATTTATCTTGCAAGATATAACTTGAGCTTTTAGTGTTTTCCAGAAACTCTTCTGGGCAAGTTAACAAAATTGGCAAGAGCCCAGATTTCTTAGTGAAAAGGGTGACTGAAAAGATAAAAGTATTGAAGATAATTCCAGAGAGTGATCAATTATATTAAATAAAGAAATTAAGGGACGGGGAAAAGGATGGGATGGATATGAAGGCTCAGTGTCCAGGACAGGGCTCTCTGGAAGGCTGCGACTTGAAGAACTTAACTTATACACCCATCCTGCAGCAGAGCATTCTTACAGGAGGAAATGAACCAGAGATTTTCATTGTTTTATGCAAAAGTACATGATTTGGTTCCTTGGCTCTGATTAGAGACTTTTCTCTGGTGCTATCCCAACGTTTCACTCTGTATTAGTCTGTTACTAGGACTTAGAGTCCCCAGGGTTGAGAGTGGGGAATCCATTCTCTTTCTTCAATCTACGTTCCAAGATGCCTACTTTTCTTCAGGAAGATTAATTCGTGGTCCACTTGGGCTTGGCTTTATCACTTTAGTAGAAAATTCCACCGTGGACAATCAGGTTGTTTTGTGGTGTGTTTTAGAGTTGAGAGTTCTTGGCCATCAACTCTGTGCTTTGGACATGTCAAGCTTTCCAGTTCTGGGGCACATTCACTTGACTTGTCTTCTGTTGAGTCTGCCAGCCAGGAATTTTTAGCTAAGATGTCTGCCAGAGGACAGCT